CCTCCACCTCCTGTTCCCACTCCTGCTCCTTCCTCCTCTTCCTCCTCCTCCACCTCCTCCTCCTATTCCTCCTCCTCCTCCTCCTCCTCCTCATCTCAATCGTCATCTTCATCCTCATCCTCATCCTCATCAGCATCATCATCACAACCATCACCATCACCATCACCATCACCATCACCATCACCATCACCATCACCATCACCACCACCACCATCACCATCATCATCATCATCATCATCATCATCATCATCATCATCATCACCATCACCATCACCATCACCATCACCATCACCATCACCATCACAATCGCAATCGCCATCACCACCACCACCATCATCATCATCATCACCACCACCACCACCATCATCATCATCATCATCACCATCAGCATAACCATCACAGTCACCATCACCAACAGCATCACCACAACCATCACTATCCCCATCCCCATCACCATCCTGCTCCTCCTCCTCATCAGCATCAGCATCAGCATCAGCATCATCAGCATCCCCGTCATCATCATCAGCGGCATCAGCACCAGCATCAGCATCAGCATCAGCATCAGCGGCATCAGCATCAGCATCAGCATCAGCATCTGCATCAGCATCATCATCAGCAACATCATCATCATCATCATCATCATCATCAGCATCAGCATCAGCATCAGCATCACCATCATCAGCATCAGCATCAGCATCACCAGCATCAGTATCAGCATCAGCATCATCAGCATCAGCATAATCATCATCAGCAGCATCATCATCATCAGCATCATCATCACCATCACCATCACCACCACCACCACCACCACCACCACCATCATCATCATCATCATCATCGTCGTCGTCGTCGTCATCATCATCATCATCATCATCATCATCATCATCATCATCATCGTCATCGTCATCGTCATCGTCATCGTCATCGTCGTCGTCGTCATCGTCGTCATCATCGTCATCATCGTCAGCATCATCGTCACCAGGTCATCTGCACACCAGAAGCACAAAGACCCCAAAGAGGCCCCCCAGAGGCACCCAAGACGCCCCAGGAAGCCTCGGCGAGAAGGAACAAATCATTGACTTCACGTAAGGTGTTAGCCACACTTTGGCTTCCTGGGGGGGGGCCTATGCACTACGGCCCCTCCTTTGATCGATCTCCTCCTAGATGGCACAAAAAACCCGAGGCTCGCAAGAGTGTCCCAAGACGGCCCCAAAAGGTGCCCAGGAGGCCCCAAGAGGCCCCCAAGATGACCCCAAAAGATTCCCAAGAGACCCCCAAGAGGCCCCGGGAGACTCCCTGGAGGCACCCAAGACACCCCAAGAGGCCCCCGGGACTGCCAAAAAACCTTCAAGAGGACTCCAAGAAACTCTCAGAAGAAATCTGAAGAGACTCCGAGAGGCATCCAAGAAGCTTCTGGCCGTTCTGCTCGCCCTCCTCCACCTCCTCCTTCTCCTTTTCCTCCTCCTCCACCCTCCTCCTCCTCCTCCTCCTCCTCCTCCTCCTCTTCCTCCTCCTCCTCCTCCTCATCATCCACCTCCTTCTCCTCCTCCTCCTCTTCCTCCTCCTCCTTCCCCTCCCCGTCCCCCCTCCTTCCCCTCCCCGTCCCCCCTCCTGCTCCTCCTCCTCCTCCTCCTCTTCCTCGTCCTCCTCCAGTTCCTCCGATTCCTCCTCCTCCCCCTCGTCCTCCTGATCCGATTTCTGTTTCATCCTCTCCCTCTTGGGGTACAACGTCTTACCCAGTCTTTTCTTCCTCCACATTCGTGATCAAAGCAACTCGTCTGGGCATCGTTTCTGGATGCGCTGGCGAAGCTACTTTTTACTCAGCGGCCGCGGGCGAGCGCGCCGGCGGCGAGTCAGGTCAAAGCGGGCTACGCAGAGACTAATTGGGCAGAGGCGGCGCGAAAAGGCTACAACTAACGCGGCAAGTCGAGGCCCCACGCGGCGGCCCAGCGGCGGGCGGGTGGCAAGAGAGACTGACACTGAGCCGAACTGCCAGCGTGCAATGCAAATATGCAGGGCGTCGAAGGCACCAGGAAGTCGGGAAATTAACGACGACCAGGGACAACTCCGAGAATTAAGGCAAGAGACCAAACCTCGAGCAGCTGCGTGGGCACCAGGGTGGCCGCGGCCAACGAACCGCCGATCGAGGTGGAAATGCGAAAAGCAATGGCGAGGCCCCGGACGTCGGCGTGAACGCGAAAACCAGGGTGGCCCGAAGGACCGTCGGCCAAAGAATTGACGCCAGGAGGCGAACGCGCTGGCAGTCTGCAGCTCCCAGGGTGGCTGCGGCCGAGAGATCCCGAGGCAACAGTACGCACGGATGCGGGAAGCGGCATAGCCGCGACGCAGCCAAAATGGCGCGGGTCACCACGAACCAGTGCGTGAGGTGGCGTCAGGTTGACCCAACACGGGCCCGAATGGGCACCACGCGCAGGGCTGACACACCAGGTGACGACAAGCGGAAGGACACCTCGGGCAAGCACGGGGCGGAGTCCAGGGAACCAGCCGCACGTGCAGGGAAGGTACTGGACAAAGCGATGCCAGGACGGCCGCTAGCCCAGAAGAGAGGAACCGCTATTTGAGCGGCAAGGCCGAGGGCCGGAGCAGTAGAGGGACGGCACCACCACCCGACGAGGCCAGGGGAAGAACCGCGAGTTGCGCGGCATGGCAGAGGCCGGTGCGGTGGGAGAGCCGCCGCCAACCGGCGAGGAGGCCGAAGCCAGGCACAGTGGGGGGGGGCACCCCGACCCGGCGGGCCGCCCGGTGGCGCTGGAGACGCGCCCCCGGGGTGAGAACAGCAACAACGGGCCGAAGGCCGGTATTGGACAGGTGGACCACGGCCCCAGCAGCAGCCCTCGAGTCAGTATTGCCAACGACGTACCATTGCTCAAGTTTCCCAGGACGGGGAGCGGTGGGGGCTGGGCTGGGCAGGAAAGGCACCGGGGACGGAGCTCTGCCTGCGGGACAACCGGCGGCCACTGCGGGAACGCAGCGACACGCCAAGGGTGAAACGAAGGGGAGACGGGTGGACCACGGCCCCGTCGTGGCCCACAAGGTCAGCAGGCCCGAGGTCCGCGCCCGGAGGGACTGAATGACAGGGGCTGGGCAGGGAGTGGCCCCAGGGAGGGAGCACTGCCTGCAAGCCGGGCGTCGGCCGCAGCGGACGCTGCGTGTGCCAGGCCCAGGATGGTGCAAGCGAGGACCGGTGTCGGGGGCCATCGACAAGCCCCTGTCGGACACGTGTCGGAGGTCAAGCCAGAGAGGGCGAGAGACCACGGCGAGCTGTGTGAGTGAGGCACCGAACAAATTCGCCGAATGGGCCCCATTGTACATACCGCGATAATAGCGAACCACGTTCCGGCATGGCCTAACGGGCCCTATTTTACCTGGAGAGTCGGGGACACAGCCCCTGCGAACCCCTTGGGCCTGAGGTCAGCACGTCTGCAGAGGGTGGTGGCGGTCGGCTGTCCACTGGGGCGTCAGGTTGGCGCCAGGTCGGGCGTGCCGGGGCGAGCGAGGACTGGTGTCGGAGGTCCTCGCCGAGCCCCTAACAGACACATGTCGGAAGTCGAGCCAGGGAGGGTGAGAGACCACAGCGAGCTGTGTGAGTGAGACACCGAAAACATTGGCCAAACGGGCCCCATTTTACGGACAGCGATAACAGCGAAACACGTTCCTTCGTGGCCTAATGGGCCCTATTTTAGCTGGAGAAACGGGGGCACAGCCCCAGTGAGTCCATCGGGCCAGGGATCAGCACATCGGAAGAGGAAGGTGGAGGTCGGCTGCCCACTGGGGTGTCGGGTCGGCGTCTGGTCGGGAGTGGCGGGGCAGGCACGGTTGGGTACCCGGGGGCGAAGTCAACGCAGAGCCGTAGACGGTCGCGTGGTCGGAATGGGGCGCGCTGGTACACAGCGGGAGGGTGGAGCCCTATAGCCATGTGTGGGAGCGTTTGTCCCCCCGCCCGTCGCCGCTATCGTCTCCGCCACGTTTGCCTGCTGCCTGCCAGTCGTCGGCGTCCCAGCACTGCCCCCATGTCCATGAGGCCCAGACCCAGGGTTGGCGGGAGCTTGTGGCGTATCCCCTGTACTGCTGGGAGCTGGTACCCTGGTGTCCTGACCACTTGTCGCGCTCACGGTCCCAATTGACCTGTAGCTCGTGCTTGCAACCCATCTCGTACGCGTCGTACCCACAGCGCTTCCAGGCGTCGAGGAAAGCGCGGCACGTGCTCTCGGGATTGAGGGCGGGGTCACTCTTTGGGCCGTTGGCAGCAGGGCGCCTCCGAGTATAGGCGTGCCAAATGCTGGCTGGTGAGGCTACGCGAAGCGTCTAGAATATCTGTCCTACTTCTCTGACGCAGGACTTTCTGCCCTGCTACTTCGCATCGTCTGGAGCGCATTTCAGGCCGGCACAATCAAACCACACACTTCACCAACAGCAACCATGAATCCGCGATGCATCGCCCAGAGATCGGCGATAGGACCCCAGAAACGAAAGCGCATGCTCCCGGACATTGTGGGGCACCCAGGCCCCGACTGGCGGCGAATGGGCGCTTGGGGGTCGATGCCCCCCCCCCCCCCCCCGTGAGCAGGTTCCTTCTGGTGATCCTCGTCGTCCGGTTGCCAGATCATAGCTGAAGCCTCACGCGGCTGTTCGAGAGGATCTGGGCACCCCGGGGCGCCCTTCGGCGAGGTGCGGTTGCTGGAGAACACCCCGAGGCTGGAAAACCACGGAGAGCCCACGAAAACGTCTGAAAACCAGTCCCCCCTTGGGCCAGTCCTATCCCCCGCGGCCCTTGCACACCTCGGCGGCGAATAGGAAGTGAGATGGGGGCAGGCCTTCTCAGAAGCGGGCGGGGCTTGTCAGAAGCTCGCCGCCTTTCGGAAAAGGCGTATAGACAACTTCTCAAAGGCGCGAGGGTTTCTGAGAAGCCCCGCCTCCTCTCACTTCCCCCCCGGGCTCGCCGCTGATCCTCTCCCTGTTTCTCCTGGCACCCGGCGGGCCCGACGGGGCAGACTGCGTCCGCAGGATGGGCTCGTCCGAATCCGCGCGCCGCAACGGGCCGTCCACGTGCACGAACGTGTTCTTGACGGTCACCCGCTGCAGACCATCGCCTCACCCTCCCTCTCTCGGCGGCGAGCCCAAGGGGAATGCCGAGGGGGCCGGCCTTCTCGGAAGGCTCGGGAGCCCTCGGTGAAGTCGTCTCTGAGCCTTCCCCGACGACGCAAGCTGCTTCTCGAAAAAAGCGGGAGGGCTCCGAAGAGCTCCGCCGCCTGCTGCGAAGGCCTGCCCCCGCCCCACCTCCCCCCTGGGCGCGCCGCCGATTCTCCCAATCCTCCGGCTGAGACGCCAAGCACTCCAGTCAGTGGGGCCTCTCCGGAGTCGGCCCACCTTCGAGCGATCTCGAGCCCCAAAGCTTTGCTCCTTCTGAGCCAGGCCCCTTCGAAGATGTCGTGCTGCGCGCTCCTCCCTGGGCATTCCTTTCCGCTCCGCTGCTTCTCCTGGCCCTGCTTCCCATGGCCCGCCCTGCCGCGGCAGGGCGGGCCGGTCGAGTCCGCGCTGAGGGACGCCATCACGCCGACCAGGGCCCAGGGCGAGAGGCCCCGATCCCTGTCCCGCCGCCTCAAAGACGAGTTCGCCAACAGGCCGGAGATTGTCCCTCCTGTTTTTACTCAGCTCCTGTGATGTCGATTGACGCCCAAGTTTGCTGTCGCATTTCTCGCCATCCTCGAGCCTAAACTGGGCGCGCTGGACGGGCTGGTGCCACGTCTCCTCTTTTTCTTCCTCCTCCTCCTCCTCCTCCTCCTCCTCCTCTTCTTCTCTCGTCCCTCCTCCGCCTCCTCCACTTCTTCATCGTCCATCGAATATTGCATTCTCCTCTTCTTCCTCCCCCTCCTGCTCCTCTTTCCCCCTCTGCAAAGACTCACCATAGATACGTATCTCCTCTCCCCAAACAACATCGTCGTTACCGCCCCCCCCTGCACCTTCCTCTACAACCCTCGTTTCTGTTGTTCCGTCTACAACCCTCGTTCCTGTTGTTCCGCCCTCCATTGAAAGACCCCACCCCCACTGCTGCCGATGGATCCAGCATCTGCAATTCGCAACGAAAAGTTGCGGGGAGCCACGATAAGATCAAACGCTATGAACACATAAAGTATGGTAGGGGAGGATGTCGGATGTGGCGCGAACGCGCCTAGCTTCAGTTCTCCGCGGTTCCCGAAACTCTGTTGGCCCTGAATTACGGGTCCTTACTTCTGCTTCCAAGAACTGGGATGATGTGGCGGTCTGGCGGCTATGTGGTCGCCGTCGCCGCCCTGTCGCCGCCCGTCGTCTGGGCGGCGTTTCGGTCAGGCCGCCCCGTCGCCGACGCCGCCCCGTCGCCGCCTCGTCGCCGCCCGCCGTCTGGGCCGGTGCGGCGGTCCGGCGGCTGTGCTGTCGCCGTCGCCGCGACGTCGCCGCCAAGCACTGATTCCGACCAATAAATTCGGATCTCGGAATCGACCCCCCATCCCATCCCTGTCAAAATAATCCCTTGCAAAACCAAAACTCAACAACACGCGCGGGCCGTCGCGCGTATGATACAATTCGTCCAGGTTTCGTAAGGATTTCAATATCGAGTTCCTCGAACACAGATTCAAGCAACATGGGCTTTGCAATATGAGTCTTCCCTAGAAAGAAGGGCGCGTGCGTTTTGGCGAATGTTTGCGACAACCATCGATTCTCCATGTTTCCATCACATGTGACGAATGGGGCCTTTCGCGCGAGCGTGTCGAAATCATCTGACGCCCTTGCGCGCTTACTGGGGGGTACCATCTCTCACATGATACATTGTGGGTGACTCGCGCGCGTCGGCCGCGCGCATGCCGAAATCCCCCCAAAACCTTCATCACCGACTGGACACCATCATCGTCATCGGAATGATCAGCGTCGGCGCCGTCGGTGGCCTTGCCGTCGTCGTTGTCATCACCGCCACCGGGCCCGGCCAGGCCCACCGCGCCCTCGCCCCCCACCGCGGCGCGCCATGCCTGGCCGAGCACTGCTGGCCCTGCGGCCCGGCAGCCCTGGTGCGCGCGCAGTCGGAGAGGTGCGCGACCGTCTCGGGCCCCAAGGCGCCGCGCGCGCAAGAATGATCCGCGCATCGTTCCCGCCGTGCGCGCGTGCGCCCACTCCGCGCTGATTCGCGCGCGGCCCGCGACGCTGTCCTTTGCCCGCTGCGGGGCCGAGCGGGGTCGGGCCGTCGTCTCCAGCAATGATCTCCGCTCTCGTCTCGCAACTTGCTGCGGCGCGGCTTCCATCGAGCCCCATTCCCGCGCCTTCCACCCGCGGCGGCTCTCGTCTGTTGCCGCGCGGCACCTCCGCGCAGAGCTGGCCCCCACCGTCGCGCGGGCCCCCGGCGGCCCCGGGGACCTCGCGCGCCCTCCACTCGGCCAGGCCGCCCCGAAGGTTGCCGCGGCATCCTTGAGCATGGCCCCCTGCCGATTCTGTTTCTGCTCCTCGCCCGCCGTCTGGCCAGCGAGCTCCCTCGGCGGCGCCTCTTTCGCGCTGGGGTCCACGGTCGTCGCCGCCTGCTCGAGCGTTCCCTCGAACGCGGGCTCGTCTGCCTAAGGCGCCATGTGCGGGTCGGTGAGGTCTGGAGCGCCTTGCTGACCTCCGCCGAGCGGGCCGCTCTCTGTGAGGGGTGCTCCTCCTTTGCGCACCTGCGTGCCCGTTCTGCTCCGCGCGTCGTTCTCCGAACGGCTCCAGGTGTGGCTTCCCCCCATGTGGGAGGTGGGCCGCTCGGCTAACCCACTGACACTCTGCCCCGCTCACTCGCCTCGCTGCGGGGACAGTCCGTAATTATAGCGCCCGTCGTCGAGACCGAAGGGGCCCTCCCTCCTTGGGGGCTGCCATTTGCTGGCGGGGTGATGTTCCCGATGGTCGCACTCGTCGGGGCCCTCGGCATTTCGAGAAAAAAGGGCCGTCTGCTTGCCCGCTGCTCGCCGTGCCAGCCCTTCGTGCTGTGCTGGGCCGTCGGAAGGGGGGGCGCCGCTGCGTTCCGTTCGCGCCCGTCGCCCGACGGAGGTGGCTACTGGCCGTGCTGGGGGGGGGGGCGCAGGCCCCCGAGCTCCGTCCTCCGTGATTTCCTGCTGGCGACGGGGGGGGGGTAGAGGGGCGGGGGGCGGCCGTCCACACAGCTCTCGGACGACGGCCCCCCGTCCCCTCTCTCTGTTGGGATCCACCCCCTGAAGGGGGCATGCTGCGCCGCTGCTTGTTTTTGCCTCTTTGCCCCGCGAGCGGTTTTCGCGGTGGCCATGCATTGCCTGCTGCCCCGGCTGCCAAGGCGCGGCCCTGGCCACTACTGCGCGGGCCTGGTGGTCCCGCCCTGCATCGGGTGTTGCCACAAGTGCCCATGGTTTTCGTGCCATCTTCGAGCCCCTGGGGCCCCCTGGGCTTCGTGAGGGGTGCCCCCGAAGCCGTCTGGGCCAACCCGAGAATCCAGGGGGCACCTTGGGCCAGGGGTACCTCTGGCAACACCCGACCGCAGGCTGAGTCATGGCGCTGTCGGCGTCGCTGGCGCGTCGTCCTCCTCGGAGCTCGGCCCGTCGTCGTCATGGGCTCGCCTCCAGTCCCGATGGCCTCGCCCCGCCCCGCTGGATGCCGCGCGGCTGGGCCGCGGAGGGTCTCCCCTCTTCCTCCCTGTCCCCCTCCTCCTTCTGTACTGGGGGCCCAGGAAGTGGGGGGGCACACGCAATCGTATAGAGCGTCGGACGAAAATTACTCACTGCGTGGAGATCCCCATATGTGCATCTGTTTAACAGGATATTTGTCAGTGGGATCTGGGAATGCGCGTCTAGCCATTTGGGCGCTTGGGACTGCTCTGGGGGCCTCTCGTGGCCTCCTGTTGCCTTCCGAGACCTAGCGCTTCCTCTGGCCTCCTGGGGCCTCCTGTGGCTTCCTGAGGCCTCCCGGAACTTCCTGGGGCCTCCTAGAGCCTCTTGGGACATCATGTGGCCTCTTGAATCTTTCTGTGGCCTCCTGATGCATCCTGGGACCTCATGTGGTCTCCTGGGGCCTCCTGGGGCCTCCTGGAGCCTCCTGTGGCATCCTGAGGAAAATCTGTGCCCACGAGTCTGGCCACCGATCGAGACATCCTCAAAATCTGGCCCACCTGGGGGGTGAAAATGAGCGCATCGCTCGAGACATTCTCCAAATCTGCTCCGAAAGCGAAGGATGCTGGGACAGAGGATAAGCAAACCGCTTGAGACATCCCCACAAAACGGCCGCGAACGGGACCGTGAAAACACCCCTGGCGGCTCCCTTTAGGGGGGGTGAAAATGAGCGCCTCGCTCGAGACATCCTCCAAATCTGCTCCACCGTGAAAACACCCCTGGCGGCTCCCCTTAGGGATGCTGAAAATGACCGCCTCGCTCGAGACATCCTCCAAATCTGCTCCGAAAGCGAAGGATGCTGGGACGGAAAATCAGCAAACCGCTTGAGACATCCCCACAAAACGGCCGCGAACGGGACCCTGGCGGCTCCCCTTAGGGACGTGAAAATGACCGCCTCGCTCGAGACATCCTCCAAATCTGCTCCGAAAGCGAAGGATGTTGGGACAACAAGCAAACCGCTTGAGACATCCCCACAAAACGGCCGCGAACGGGACCGTGAAAGCACCCCTGGCGGCTCCCCTTAGGGGGGTGAAAATGAGCGCCTCGCTCGAGACATCCTCCAAAGCGAAGGATGTTGGGACAGAAACAAGCAAACCGCTTGAGGCATCCCCACAAAACGGCCGCGAACGGGGCGTGCGTGAGTCTCACCATGAGTAAGTCTGAGTAGGAGTCGGTCTGAGTATGAGTAGGTCTGAGCAAGAGACATTTTGTGTGTGAGTAGATCTGGGTATGAATAAGTCTGAGTGTGAGTCAGTCTGTGTATGAGTAAGTCTGGGTATGAGGAGGAGAGGGGAGGAGAAGGAGAAGAGGAAGGAGGAGGAGTACGAGGCGTCCAAGTAATAACAAGAACCCCATCCTAGGATATGGGGATAAACTGTATATTGTGCACCGCTGTCGGCGCAAACCCAAATTTCACACAAATGCGGTGTGAAGGCCAACGGTCGCGTGTAGAGTGGTGCTCTCCA